AGCTTGATCAGCTCAGCCGGTAGGCCGTCCGGCCCGACGGCCTTCCTGTTGCAGGTGCAACCAGCTNATCGTGTCCCCCTTCTTGAACATAACCTTGATGGTGGCGTCCTTCCACTGCTGCGGTACGTTCCCCGTCTGCCACACGTCCACGACAATGGCGTGGAATTCGCGGAGGAAGCCTCGGTCTCCATCCAGGAACAGCTTGATCAGCTCAGCCGGTAGGCCGTCCGGCCCGACGGCCTTCCTGTTGCAGGTGCAACCAGCTCAACCAGCTCGTCACCACCTGTCCCCTCCTCCTTTGATGGCAAAACCAGGTTACTGAGACAGTACAGCTCCCTCTAGCAAACCTAGGGCCGTGTACATAGCGCCCGTCCACCTTTCTGATGGCGTCTGCCTCCGCGCACAAAGATGAGATTGGCATTGCTGCCTGCACGGACGGCCTGGAGGCCCGCACATCTTCACCTTTGTACCTGACGCACCAGTGCCGCCCCAACTCCACCACCATGCATGCCTCGCGGCGGGTGCGCCGCAGCAAGAAGGTATCGGTCCCTTGAGGGTGAGTCCTATTCGTCTACCTTAAGTGGTTTGCCCTTGTTGTCTTTGTAGACTGTAGTGCTTGATGTTTAGATGCTTGTTATCTCTCACACCCGGTTGGGGGAAAAGAGGAGGGAGTGCCACGCGGCAGGACAGCTGCCGTGGGGGGCTCCGCACGATCATTGTACTACCCAACATATACCTGTGTGCAGGGCACCTGAAACGGTCATCTCGTCTACAGATCCGACTACATCCGTCATCACACGAACACCCTCCCTGGTTCTTTACGTAAAAGTAACTAACCACTTGCAGTGGGATGCGTACGTACGTCACTCTCAGTCAGGGTTTCCGCACGAACAACAAGTAGAAAATAACGCAAGGGGAAACCCGGCCACCGGATCAAAACCCCTCCCAAGGCTCCTATCATAAATAGGACCGTTTACGGCACTCCAAGAAGGCAAGGCCACTAAACATGACAGGATAACGCTAACCAGTCAGTAGCGTCTTCAGTTGAGTCAACATTATTGCCACCGTGGTGCCAATGTCATAACATCGCCAACAGCGTCATTACCGCGCACCCTTCCCTCCACGCTTCAATAGCATCTGCCAAGTACCCAATAAAATATAATAAAAAGTTTGATGCAACTACCAAGTACCACTCAATAAGGCCCAATAACGTCTGCTGCAAATCTACTGCCATTGCCCTCCCCGCTCGACGAACAACTATCGATGATCTGAGCACCAATCTTCCTCCTCCCCCCTTGGTTCTTGCGCGTCACGGCGCCCCCGGGGTCGGTGGTGTATGTATGTGCAATCATCCTGGGACAACTGTTTTGCCAAACGCATCAGGCGTTATCAGCCCGCTTGCATAAAACACTTACTTCGATTCTTAGAAAGACGAAGTTCAGCCTGCTTGCACACAAGTCTTCGACTCTCAGAAAAAACAATAACTTCATTTCTCAATCACCATATACAGCACGCGTCGATATGGTTCGCCCTTACTCGAAAGTAACTGCAGGCCGTCATGTCATGCAATATTATTCTCCCTCACTCTGCGCTCGCCGCACACAAAACACCTCGCTCATCCTACACTCGCGGGAAACACTCCGGACGATCAACATGCATGCATCGAGAACTCATCATCGCTGGGGCTTCTCCCCTCCTACATGACAAACAAGCACAGTGGTTCTTATCATGGAGCTTCTCCCCTCCTACAAGACACACACTGCTGTCATACAAAACAGTGATTCTTATCATGGGGCTTCTCCCCTTCTACAAGACACACACTGCTGACATAGATATTGGATACGCCTTGCTACTGCGAATCCGTCAATAAGGCGAATACATCTAGTACATGGATCCACAGCTACAGCAACAACGGAAATGTCACCTACAACAGTGCCCTCCCCTCCCCATTTCCGCCTCATCCTGCACAAGGTGGCACATCTGGTACATGGGTCCACACCTACCTGTAGCAACAACGGAAATGTCACCTACAACAGTGCCCTCCCCTCCCCATTTCCGCCTCATCCTGCACAAGGTGGCACATCTGGTACATGGGTCCACACCTACCTGTAGCAACAACGGAAATGTCACCTACAACAGTGCCCTCCCCTCCCCATTTCCGCCTCATCCTGCACAAGGTGGCACATCTGGTACATGGGTCCACACCTACCTGTAGCAACAACGGAAATATCACCTACAACAGTGTCCTCCCCTCCCCATTTCCACCTCATGCTGACACCTGCACAATTTTCACTGCGCTGGTGTCTGCAACGTCGATACACCGGGTCCTGTGTACCCCTTGTCTGGCCGACACGCTGGATACTGTTTTACCCCTGTGCCTGAGTTTTCAATCGGCTTTGATACACCTGGTCCTGTGTACCCCTTCATTTCAGCCGACACGCTGGATACTGTTTTACCCCTGTGCCTGAGTTTTCAATCGGCTTTGATACACCTGGTCCTGTGTACCCCTTCATTTCAGCCGACACGCTGGATACTGTTTTACCCCTGGGCATGAGTTTTCGATCGGCTTTGATACACCTGGTCCTGTGTAACCCTTCATTTCAGCCGACACGCTAGATAATGGTTTACCTCTGTGCGTGGATCTTTCATCGACTGCGGGGAGCGCTTGTGCTGCATCCCCTCATTTGGTACACCTGTTACCGCGTAACCCTTTTTTTTTCTGCCCCAGACAAACTTTTCATCGCCCGCGGACATCATGAAATGGAAGCGCCAGTACCGCGAATCCCCATCATAGAGTGGCTGGTTTTTGGAGCCGAATCACCATCGTCGTACGAAACACCCGTAATAACACGCCTGGATTTTACCATCGAAAAAACGAATAACAATTGCTCAACAAAACACCCACACTCAAGAATTGGAACGCCTGAACCGCGAATCCCCTTTCGCAGTTGTATCATCGTAAGCGAAGCTACCATCACTCTACGAACACCAAATCAGACAATGGAAACGCCTTTACCGCGAATCTCCTGTAGAAACTTTCGGTATCATTCGTCACAAGCAACATCCCTCAACAAATCACTCACGAATCTCAACCAAAAAGTAGTATCCGCCGTAGCCCCGCCCTCTCTTTTGACACGGCCACTCCGTTGCCCCTTTTTACAGTCGCGGGCGAGGAAGGCCTGTTCTGACGCCTTTGCTGCTTTCACTCCCGCTGCTTTCTTGCTGATGTTATGGAACCGGATAACTGCCGCCCGGATGAGGGTGTCCCTTGTGAGTTCAGTGGTTGATGCTAGGGTCTCCTTCGTCACCTCGTACTCGGACGGCAGGGAGTCAATGAATCGCGTAAACACGATCAGGTCTTGGAGGTAGGCGTTGCGAAACTGGAACATCTGCCCCCGGAGGTATTCTAACTCGTTCAGCGCCTCTACGGGGTTCTGGTCGGCCCGCGTGTTGTACTCATTGAATTTTCGAAACATGTCCTGGACCACTCCTTGGGTCTCCGGTTTATGTACGGAGTATAAAGTCTTCAGGGCGTCCCGGGGCGTCAGGTATTGTTGGAGACGATGGCGGAGGTTATCAGCCGCCACGCGAGGTGTGTCGAGTCGATGATCTTCCAGGAAAAACCTTCACGCCGCAATTCACTCCGGGGTTTCTGAGTGTCCGGAAACTCTCCCTCCCCCACAAAATTTTCCGTCAGATCTGCTGAGCCCGCATGGCGCAGAGAATCCAGCCTCCATCCAGGATACATGCTCTTGTTACCCTTGAATTGAGGTGGTGGGGTGATACGCAGTCGTGTCCTAGACCCCTCCGCTTCTCCCCAACCTCCCCAATCGTAACCTCCTCCACCAGCCCCATCTGTCTCACCTTGGGCATGAGAACCCGCCGCTTCACTTCCCAGTGGGGAGCCCGCTGATGGGTGGCCCAGGGTACTACTCACCCAGCTCCAACAGGTGGCGCCCCAAACCGTGCGCCCAGCGCGGCTGTGCCGCGCTCTGCGGCGTTGCCAGCGCCGCGTGACTCTCCCTCTTCTGCCCCCGCCGCCCTGGCAGGCGGCATCTGGAGCTGCTCCAGCTTCTCTAAGACAGCCGACAGCACCTTGCTCTGCTCAGCTAGCTTCGTCGCCAGCTCTGTCACGCGCTGGTCGGTCGCGGTTTCGCCGCTTTCGCTCGCTAAGGTATCGCCTGGCATGGCCAAACTCAAAGGGGCTCCTTCGAAGGAAATTCTAGAGTTTTCGTCAACCCTAAGTAGTATGCCCTTGTTGTCTTTGTAGAGACTGTAGTGCTTGATGTTTAGATGCTTGTTATCTCTCACACCCGGTTGGGGGAAAAGAGCAGGGAGTGCCTGCCACGCAGCAGGACAGCTGCCGTGGGAGGCTCCGCACCATCATTGTACTACCCAACATATACCTGTGTGCAGGGCACCTGAAACGGTCGTCTCGTCTACAGATCCGACTACATAGTGGTATCCTCTAATCCGCGAGTCGCAGAGGTGGTGAGTTCGAATCCCCATGGGATGAAAAATTTACGAAATTTGCGGGTGAAAGCGAAATAGACTATAGCTAAAAAGCTCTCGTGNCTTGATGTTTAGATGCTTGTTATCTCTCACACCCGGTTGGGGGAAAAGAGCAGGGAGTGCCTGCCACGCAGCAGGACAGCTGCCGTGGGAGGCTCCGCACCATCATTGTACTACCCAACATATACCTGTGTGCAGGGCACCTGAAACGGTCGTCTCGTCTACAGATCCGACTACATAGTGGTATCCTCTAATCCGCGAGTCGCAGAGGTGGTGAGTTCGAATCCCCATGGGATGAAAAATTTACGAAATTTGCGGGTGAAAGCGAAATAGACTATAGCTAAAAAGCTCTCGTGAGTGCGGCGGCTGCGGATACTGGATTCCTGGACGTGTTCACCTGAAGGAAAGCCAAGAGAACCTGCGAGCAGGACTTGGCTCCCTCGTGACTTCCAAGTGGCTTGCTAGGTTCGGACGAGAGCATGTATGTGTGGAGCTATGGCCGTGTATGTGTTGCTATTTTGTTTGAGTCATCTAGCTGCTGACACGATGACTGTTGGATCTTGCGAGTGTACGATTATCAAATTGGGAGATGCAGCATACCACGATATCCTGGCTTCGGCTGGGCTTGAAATAACCCTTTTGCTGTCCTCCGCTCTTTGCATCAGTGGCTTCCTAGGTTCGGACGAGGGCATGTGTGGAGCTATGGCCGTGTATGTGTTGCTATTTTGTTTGAGTAATCTAGCTGCTGACACGATGACTGTTGGATCTTGGGCGTGTACGATTATCAAATTGGGAGATTCGCCATACCACGATATCCTGGCTTCGGCTGGGCTTGAAATAACCCTTTTGCTGTCCTCCGCTCTTTGCATCAGTGGCTTCCTAGGTTCGAGCGAGGGCATTTGTGTAGCTGAGATGTGTGTCTTCGTGAAAGAACATGTAGAGAGAGTCGTATTGGCATTCGCATCAAGCGCATTGCGCATTTTTCGAATTTTGGCCCCCTTCCAGGGACCTTGATTTTTACCCGCTGGCACTGACGTCTAGACTATTAATTGGTCAGCCGGTTAGCGCAGTCGATGCTAATAATAAAATCACACACACACATACGTCATCACACGAATAACTCCTAGCCCTGCTCGCTAGAAAGACCCCCCCCCTCGCTATGGGTCATGCCTAAGCAAAACCTTGCCCATGCAGCTAGGGGAAGAAGGGGTACTACTGCTGTAAGACTGAAACACGTTGTGCCAGCCAAACTCTAGATCAATCAAGACGACCCCTGGAAGAGACAAGTAAATGTGTGAGTCTGAAACACAATTCCAGGGTCGTCTGCTGCTGTCCACGGTGCTCACCTTTGTTTCTATGCCCTATCGCTCAAAACTCACCATTTTCTTCTGCGCCAACACGACGAAGGAACTGGCCAGCATGCTGTGCGGGAAGGACCATCGATTGAGGTTGACTGCCGTGCCGACGGTCGCTCTGTGCCAGTGAACGGTGTGTTCGATCTTACAACGTACAACGGCGTGCAGCGATCACCCAGCCAGGCTATAGTGGTGTGCCCGAGCATCAGCATGGCCAAACGGTCCCTCTCGTTGTGCGATACATGCCCTGGTATGCGTCTACGCCACGTTCTGCTGTAGAATGAAACGTTTACCCGTCGGATCCATCCGTGGATCCGTCCACTCCGTCACGTCGTCTGTTCTTGCTGAGGCCATGTTGTTTGAGACCACCACGACCACACTGGCATGTCTCCACTGCACACCCGCTGGCAAATTGGCCACACACCTCACACACACACGTACACGTACATACGGAGTAGACTATGTAGTTTGGGCGTGCTTGCCGTGAGGTGGATACCATGGTGGTGCACAGCAGTAGTGGAATGAAAGATCGCTCCGGATCGCGGATGAACGCGGATGAACATTTACCCGTCGTCGTCGGATCATGATCGTGGATCGCGGCGAGGTGGATATCGGATACGGTATTGTTGTCACGGTTTCGTTTTTGGTGGTGTGGTGGTGTGGTGGTGTGGTGGGGGGTTGGATACCCCCCCGGGTGTTTGTTGCTTGAGTTTGGGGAAACAATGAGAGACAGACACTACTGTAAGATTGAAACACTTTGTGCCAGCCAAACTCTCGATCAATCAAGACGACCCCTGGAAGAGCCAATAAATCTGTTAGACTCTCGGATACGGTACTGCTGTCACGGTTCCGGTGTTGGTGTCGTCGAAGGACTTGTCAATCCAGCTGTAGATTGGACGGGGATCCAATTCGGTGGAGGACAGGCAATGTTCAGGCACAAATCGAACGAGATCGGAGCAATTTGGTGCCGGCGGCACCTGCTGCATGCTCGTGTTTCGTGCTTGAGAGCGCCGGCCATCGGCACAGCCAGCCGTCAACAACGCAAAAGGCACCAATCAAGCTGACTCTTGCGGAAGGCTTCTAAAGTAGTGCAGGACGGCCCATGGGGTGATTTCTCGCGTCTCGGGCGTTCGGCGAAAAAAAGCGCGTGGTTCAGGCGTTCGGACTGAAAGTGATCATTCATCCACATTTTTTTTACCGTTTTGTGGGACCTCTAGAGACCGTATCGGTCTCTTAGAGGAACCCGTCGTATGACGTAAACCCATACGCTATTTCTCAAATAGAGTTCAACTTTTAAAGCAGTTTCGCTTGACCCGACGCGTAACCACAACTTCTCTCGTAGTGCGTAGAAAACAACGACATCACGCGACCACTTGTCGACGGTGGACTTTCTCGTGCTGTACGAGGATGTCAACAACTCGGTCAGCGAACTACACTAACTTTGGCGCGCACACTCGCGTCCTTGAAAATACGTTCGAACATCAGATCCGCTTCGTGCCTGAATGTCTCCAAGTACGGAGATAGAAAGAGTTCTAGGCTGTCTTCAGCGGCGGCTCAGTTCAGCTGGAGCATGTCGCGAACAACTCCTTCGTGCTCCTTTGCTCGCATCTGCACGGAGATTAATAAACCAGGGCAACAGTTGTTAACCGAGAGCGTCTAAAGTGCGAGAGAATAGGGCGGTTCATTTCCAGGAGTTTCCCAACCAGGCGCCCAGTCTTGTGCTCCCCGGTTCTAAGGTGGTGCGGGGAAAGCGATCGGGAAAGACGAACGGTACTTACACGACTTGAAGCCATCTGAGTAACAGCCACTGAAAAACAACAAAGTCCTTGCTGCAGCTATGTTGTAGCTCTCCTATCTACTATTTTACTGTCTCGTCCTCCCCCCGCTTTGCAATTCCTCTCGAGGTTGGCCTTCAACTCCTTCACCAGCTAGGCTACTGCTGGTAGTCTTAGCCTGTTATCCTCCTCTTGGTTCTCTTGCCACGGAGACACACACCTCTCCGCCGCGTTGTTCTACACGCCGCTTTCTTCCAAGGCGGACGACATCCATTGCTCGCCTGGCAACGTGACGTAGTTGCACCTTCTGTAATTCCAAATACACCATGTCAAGTTTAGGCAACCAACTTTAACTATGCCATCTCCGGCGTACTGTAATAAACCCAAACCAGTTCTGATTTTGTGCTGTTTCTGGTCAAGTAAAGACACGAGGCCTAAATTGCAGCGGGCCACAACTTGCTGTCAACCGCACATAAACCTCCCTACCTTCCCACGAATGTCGATATCCCCTCGCCAGTGGTGCCCTTCGAGTGAAGCATGCCGGTGAAAAGCAGAACTTTCGTCGTCTTCCATGATTTGGTACATACGAGCTAGGCACATGTGTGCGTGGGACACCCCACAAGCGTCATCGACTCTTTCGGCCCAGCGAAGGTACCTACCGATCGTCATTGGGGTGTTTCGCGCGGGGAACGGATCCAGGTGGGGGGCGTCCTCCTGACGAATCTTCAAGGATGGCATCGCAATCGTACGTTCGGGCCTTTCATCAAACTCTACTGTTCACTGATTTTGGTGTAACGCTTCGTACCTGGCGTCGATGGGAAAACACACGAGAAAGCCAAACTTGCCAAATGTATGCCTCTTGTTGAACGTGGGTAAACTACCATCTAAACGAATGGAGGGCTGTTTTGAGATTGTGTTGCCCTTCTGCGGACGTGATTTCGATGGTAAGGTCGAGGCAGCAGTTACTAAGCAGACTGTACCTGGAGTAGTGTCTCCGCGCTCCAACGAGCTCCGCGTGCGACGATGATTCGAGCGCTG